TGTTCTGAGACTCTACCTTTCAGGATTTCCACACCAAATATGAGGTCTCTTCGTGTCCTCAGGTGCTCAAACAAGGTCTGGCTCAGAAACTGCTGGCTGGCTGAATGGATGGACAGATTGATGGATGGGCAGATGGACAGAAGGGTGGTTGGATGGATGGATGGATGGATGTAGATGGGGGTGGGGAAGAGTTTGGAAAACATTTGGTACAGTGGTTTATTCCCCTTACAAACAGCCATCTTGTCCCTACCAGAAACTCCCAGGATCCGTGGGCATGTCTCGTGGGCATACCAGACCCCACCGCTCCAGGATTCTAAACACACTGAACAAAACCTCAATGACTAACAAGCACAGGCCAGGGAACATGGCTGTCAGAGGACGGCCGCTTCCCTGTTTCCTTGGTATCCGACAAACCCTTTGACACATCAACGTTTCTCATGGGCACTGCAGTAAAGAGCCAGTGCATAAACAGTTCAGCAGACAGGCAGCAGAGGCCTTCCTTACACCACATAGGTCCTTCACGATCTATCAATTCAGTGACGAGGAGAGGAACAAAATCTGCATGGAACGGAAAGAAGCATGGCCTGGGAATGTTGAAGACCTGAGATTGATTCATTCACTCACTCGTCAAATATTCATTGCAACTAAGTGTCAGACGCTGTCTGGGGCAGTGGGATACAAGAGTGAGTCAAGAGACAAAAACGTCTCCCTCATGAAGCTTACAATTTATCCGGCAGAGATAAACAAAGAAGCGAAGAATATATAGTATGTCAGATGGTGAGAAACTGGTCAGGGGAGGGGGGCAGGGATTAGGCTGCACAGGGGAGTCAGGGAGTATTGCAGAAAGGGGGCAGGAAAGGCTTCTCTGACCCTGAAAAAGGCAAGCGGCCAAGGTTCACGTTTGGGGAGGGGAGCACAGCAACAAGGGAAAGGCCTCGCCACCAACTTGCTGCCTGCTCTGGACTAGAGAAGGAGGAGCTGGGGTGGCTGGTCCCAAAGGTCCTCTCAGCTCTTACTGCGCCCTCCCGCCCCTGCTTCCTCCCCTACCAGCCACCCCCGCTAGACCGCAATGAAAACCTGCAGCGCCCAAACCATCGTCCCCCTTGTCACCTGCACACGGGTGGTCCTTCCAATCTGCCCATCTTTACCCTATGGGAACCCTTCCCCAGCTCTGCCCTCCTCCACTCTGGGCTGGCTTGGGGTGCCATGACCCCGAGCTTCCATAAGATCCCACATCCACCCCCCACCCCCACCCCATCACACAGTGTACCCAACCGCTGTCACTGTCTCCTTGCTCCCCTAGACTGAACTCCCCAAGGCTGTGACCACGACTTCCCCATGTCTATAATTCCACCCCCTAGCACGCTGTTTGGTGTAATAACAGCCACCCACTGAATACGCGCTGAATGCCAAATGCCGAAACCGTGTTGAGTCCCTGGAGGGCAGGGCCCACGTCCGATGCACGCCAGGGACCCCGGGAGGTAGCAGGGTGCTGGCACAACACAAGAAACACCAGGTTGTCTGGTTGCTACATGGTTTAGTGCCTGTGCTGGTATAGGCGTTTTATCCAGAAAGCCCAGTTATCCTCAGTCCCCGACCGTGGAGGGTACAGGGCCAGTCCAGATGTGGTTCCCTGGGGTTGGGGCCAGGACTCCGGGCTAGGAAAGCTTCACATGCGCTTGTACATGCTGTGGGTTTTTCTTATTAGAATCTGCATTAATCACTAACATGCCTTAACCTCATCTGTAAGCTTCTATGCCCAGAGATAATTTGGTGTTTGGGGCATGGTTTTTCCAAGCTAACCATTTTACAAATCAAAACCTAATACGGAGTGTCCTTCAAAGCCATGGGAGGTTCTAGAGGGCAGCTGCCGTCAACAGGCCTAGAGTGCTTCCTGTCCGCCCCTCTCTTTGAATGCCAGGGCCATGAGGGCATAAGTTTGCCCCCGAGGGCTTCCCATCTTCCCTTGCAGAGTTTAGGGTAGTTCAAACATCTTTCAAAGAGAGGCACGGAGATTGAGAAGTAAGTAGATGCCATCTAATTCCACTCTTTCATAGGACAGCTGGAGAACGTGGGACCTGAAGAAGTGAAGTGGCGAAAACCCGGCGAAATACACTATTGTCTCTACTTTACAGAGGAATACACCGAGGCTTCAAAGCTTAGTGAGCAATGCCTGGTTCCAGAGCTAGTAACCGCCAGGGCAGAATCTTCCAGGTCTGTCTGACCTTGAGGGCAAACGCCATCAAGGCTGCCGACACCCAGCTGGTTCAAAGGCGATTTTCCCCCAAGGCCCCAAGGAAGCTGCCCTGGGGGGGGGGGAGGCCAGGGTCTCCTGTGGTCTCATTTGCCCAGCTCCAGTACTTTGGGAAGCTCCACATCCCTGGGGGATGGGTCTGAGGGCTGCTCTGGCCGACTACAGCATTTCCCACTGACCCTGACGGGCAGCCGTGGTGTTCTAACTTGCTTTAGAAACCTCTGCAAATTGAACATAGAGAGGGTTGAGACTTCGGTATGACATCACATAGAGGAAGAGCCCTGGGAATGAGCACTGTCCTCCTTGGAATTTAGCCTCAGAGGTTGCCTTAGGGCAAGATAACCTCGGAGCTAAAAATGGAGCTATGTGTTTCCATGTTGTGTATGTGGGTGTCCGCGAGTTGTGTCTGTCTGCAAGGGTCCTTCAACGTGTGATGTGCGCATGGCTGTGTGTGCACGTGTAGCAGGATGCGAGGGACGTGAAGGACTAAGGACGCTCTTCTCTCCCTCCCTCCCTCCTTCCCTTCCTTCTTTCCAGGAACATAAAGGCACTATAATTTTTTTCCTCCCTCAGAGATGCAAATAAACACCCGGTCTGAACTACCCCTTACTCCTCACCCCTGCAGAGATCTCCAGCTGTAATCATCCTGGTGGCGGAGGGTGGGGGCGAGGGGGGCATCTCATCCATTAAGGCAGCTCTGAAGAAAGGCAGGTCGCCTTCAGGTGAAATTGAAATTAGGGTCGGGAGCTTATATTCTTTAACTTTATCCCGACGAGGTTGGTTTTGGGTCTGTAGTGCAGTATCACGAAAGGAACAGGCAGCGATCCTGGTGGCATCGAGACCAGCCTTCAAATCTCTTTTCTGCCTCTTACAGGAGGTAGAACTTTTATTGTTTTTAATGCTTACTTATTTTGAGACAGAGACACAGTGCGAGTGGGGGAGGGGCAGGGAGAGAGGGAGACGCGGAATCCGAAGCAGGCTCCGGGCTCTGAGCCGTCAGCACAGAGCCCAATGCGGGGCTCGAACTCACGAAACGTGAGATCATGGCCTGAGCCGAAGTCAGAAGCTTAACCGACTGGGCCACCCAGGCGCCCCTGGAGGTAGAACTTTTATTACTAAACTTCTTAGCGTCAGGTTGGTTGGTTTGTTTTCAGCTTAAAATGGGGTAATCAAAACGCATCTCATCGAGTAATTGAGAGAACCAGTGTGGGAGAGAGAGCTTGACCCAGTGCCCGGCACACAGAAGGCACCAGAAACGGGTCAGCACCTTTATCTTTTGGGGGGCCATAGAGCACACAGTGCACACAGTTGGTTTCAAAATTACCCAGTATTTTTCTCTTGGAAGAAAATGAAGGAACATGAGAAAAATGAACAGAGACCCACTCCTCCAAGCACCTTTGCAAAACACTGAAATGACATTTGTAAAATTGCTTCCAGACCTGAGTAGAATACAAAAAAAAACGAAATAGGAAACGAATGATCTTCGCAACATTAGCTTTCTAAAAGCAAAGCGAAAGCAAAACAACAACAAATGAAGAATGGAGGGAGTGTGATTCGTGTATAAACAAAATCCATGTTTGAGGTTTTCATAGGTTGGGGCCCACCTTTCAGCTCCGCATCCCAGGTAACGGGAAGCCGGGAGGCCTCCAGGCTTGGAAAGGATTGTTTTGGGAGGAGGGGGGAAACAAAACAAAAAAAACCTTCCGCTAGGTTTTCCAAATCCTAATTATGTTTTTTAAATAAGTCAAAATCAAAACGTTCTTTTGCAAACAGCTTTTGCTCCCCTGAGCTATGTCTGACCTCTCAGCGCCTTCTCGCTCTGCATCAAAGGGGCCGAAAGCAGGAAGTGCCTTGGCACAGGGGCCTCATTCAAGGGGAGAGGAGAGGCAGGGGACCGTTTTTTAACTCGCAAAGAGAAACAGACCAGCTGCTGTCTGTGCAGCAGCTGGGGAAGAACCGGGCACTCACCTGTCCCTTCCCAGCACCTCTAGGAAGTCGGGGCAGAAAGGGCCACAGGGGTTCAGATCATGGCCCCACCACTAGCTGAGGGACCCCCCAACATGCCGCTTAGCCTCCCTGGGTCTTAGTTTCTGGCTCCAAGCAGTGGGGATAACATTTCATACTTCGCCATGCTGTCATGAGGTGACATGTGCTCATGGAGCAGAAGTATTCTGAAAAACTTGAAATCATTCTATGTAGTCAGATACTGATGATTTTTAAAGCCTTTCCATCAGCGGGGTATGGAAGAAGCCTGGCATGGTGAACACTAGGAATTTGATGACAGGGTTTGCATTTGAGCAACAGTTCTAGTGCCTGTCAATTCTGACAGCTGACTTGAATTCTCGGAGCCTTATTTAGTAATCCTTTCCCACAACAGAGACAGTAGTACCAGGGTACCTGGAAGGGTCAACTGAGTAAACAGATGGTCAGAAGACAGTACTCATTGCCATAAAATATTACACAAGTGTCTTTATCACTTTATAATTTCAAAAAGGGCACACAAGCCTTATCAAGCGGCCATGATCAATATTATTTTTATTTGACAAATGGGAAAAGCCTAGAAAGGAAAACAACTTCTAACGCTGTGGCAGAGCTCAAAACGGAACTTAACTTTTCTAGCTAACTTCTTTTTCAAGGATTTCACAATGGGGTCTATCCCTAACCATTCTGAGGGCTCTCTGCACAGAAGAGATTTAAGCTGGGGCTCAATAGTACACTCCATTGGAATCAGAAGGAAGGTACTTACCACCAAATACAGCATAGTGTACATGGAGAAGGAGGCGTGGCCAGAGAAGAAGGACTTCCTGCAAGAGCAAGAGAGGGCCATGAGAGGGCCATATGCACATCCCTGACACATGTCTGCCTGTCCGTCTTCTCTCCCTAGACCATGACCTTGAGACCAGCACTGTCTTGTTTGGTTTTGCCACCTTGGCAGTCCGTGGGACATGTTTTCTAGAACCTAGAAGGCACCCATGAATGAATAAGCAAAAGAATGAATGAATGAATGAATGAATGAGTGGACTTACCAGTATTCTACCATAATTGCTTATTTACCTATGCATCTAAATCAACTGACCCCGAGTTCCTTAAGGATGGGGACTATGCCTCATTCACCCACTGAAACCAAAGCCCAGCACTGAGCCTGGCACCTCATGTCGCAGGCGCCTTCGCAAGTGCTCCCTGAGCTGCCCGTGTCAAAGCAGGCACGCTGTGGCCACGGCAGGTGGTGACTCACCTGGCCTCTTGGACTTTGCTGTCGTCCCCTCTGCATTTGTAGTTTTGGATGTAGCCCTCGGAGCAGTTGATCTGGCTGAAATCGGGGTTGCAGACGTTCAAGAAGTGAGGACGCAGGCGCCCAATGGAGACTTTGGCAATGTCGGTGAAGGACTGGCTGATGGCACAGCCGAAGAGGAAGCAGCCCACCTGCTTGTAGAGGGCTGCCACATAGGGATTCTGAATCGCTGGCCGGGACTTCTCCTTCAGGTAGTAGATACGGTAGAACTCCCCAGTGATGATCTGGAAGGAAGCCAACGGGGGGAATTAGGTGGTCTCAAGACCCGTCATCAAAGTGGACGCTGTAAAGGTTATTTCATGGCTCGAGAGAACGTTCAGTACGTAATCGCAGGCTATAATCTAGAAAAATCCCAGTTTTCTATTTAAGAAATATACAGACAGAAATACGCAGGAAAGAGCAAAGTGCTAATAACATGGTCATTTTCTCCTTTTTAAAAAAAGTCCCACCAGAAATATACAACTAAATATATTTATATATAAACACATATGATATGTAAAAATATAAATATTATGGACAATATGTAAAAAATATAAATATTATATATAATATGAATTATATACGTATTTTTTTAAACAAAGAAAGAGACAAGGACCCAGATACGAAAAAAAAAAAAAAAAATAGATGAAGAATCAAGGACACGGTCAAGGGTGGCCAGGATGTCAGAGGATCTGAGCAAATGTCAGGATTCTGAGCTTTTGAGTAAGGGATCCCAGCCTTGTGTCAACACTGAGCCGTGGTGGGGGCTTCTATAGGAGGGTGGATGCCTAAGACCATGTCCTGGGTGTGAGTCCCAGCTCTGCCACCTGCCCGGTGTCCTTCAGCAATGACTTAACCTCTCCGAGCTTCAGTCTCCTTCTCCTTGAGAGGAGGCTGCAGGCCTTTGCAGAGTTGTTGGCTTCAATCTGGTAACACGTGGATGGGAAACCGCCTGGGTTGTAGAAAGGGATTCTTTCATTTTCCTTTGTAGAGGAATGCTGTGATGAAAAGAATACTGCTCTACAAACCAAGGAGCTTTTTTTTTTTTTTTTAAATAGAATCCAGTTAACTATTAAGCATTGTCTTTAGTTGGCATGTTTCTTTAGCTGTCTTTATTTATTTACTTTTTTATATTTATTTTTGAGAGAGAGAGAGAGAGAGAGAGAGAGAGAGAGAGAAAATGAAGGAAAGGCTGAGAGAGAGGGAGAAAGAGAGAATCCACTGACAGCACAGAGCCCAACACAGGGCTGGATCCTATGAACCCTGAGACCATGACCTGAGCCGAAATCAAGAGTCTGACTTAACAGACTGAGCCACCCAGGCGCCCCCAAACCAAGGAACTTTTAACACAATGCCCTTCAGTGTTTGCAAATTTCCAAGTCTCAGCACATTGTCTCCCATCTCCTCAATCCTAAAGGGCAGCCAATGAGTCTGGATGTTCATACCCTTTCTCCATCCCACCTTGTTTACTCCTAATACTTAGGGGAGGTTTGTCACTCCGGGAAAAATTATTGATTACCTACTGCATACTAGGTATTGCTTTCATACACTTCATTTCATGAACTGCCTACAATAATCATGAGTTAGGTACGGTGGGAGCTCAAAATCAAGTCACACTGCCTGGTTTTATATTAGGAGTGGGGGGCCAGCCTGCTCTCCGTAAGGCAAATGCCCTTGATGCCTACACAGCAGAGGACCAATCCCACTTTGGTGATGCCCCACCACACAGCCTGCTGCTCTTGTCTTAACTCCATAGCACAGCCCCGGCCGCTTCCTGATTGCAACCACAGTCCAGGGAGAGTGATGTTCAACTCATCACACACCACAAAGCTCCTTTCACAATTCCTCCCAGGGCAGGGTGACGAGCCATACTTCCTGCTTCAGGGAACAGACAGCGTGTTCACAACCGCAAGGGAAGCAATAGACTGACATATCCGGGCACTCCTTTTCAACGTCTCCCATTATTTTCTTTTTTTTTTTTTTTTTTACCGCTGGGGAAGGGGTCAACGCAGGGGATCTGATCCAAGTTCTCAAGGGCTCCCACGTCTAGCAGGAGGATGGCCAGGTGGCAGGGAGATGCCAGCCGGGCCCAGGGGCCAGCCGGTGTGGCAGCGAGAACAGCCACCAGCACTGCTAACGTTTACACAACGATTCTGTGTTTATAAATACCTGATTACTTCTAAGTGCTACACCTTGGTTCCCACATCACACTGAGTGTGATTCTACAATAAAGAGAGACGGTCAAAGGCCAGTCCAATGCAAAGTCCTGGCTTAGGCATTCCCTGAGGGGCAGGACGAGTACCTGCTCTGGCAGAGGTGCTCAGACTACTGATTGAATGAATGGACGGATGGAAACAGGACCACAGTTTTCGCAGTTGTTTTACTGCAAAATTGGAAATATCCTCTAAATATTACCAAAAGCCCTTTGAGAACATGTTGCAGAGATTAAAATCTGAGAAGCACAGCAAGTCAGAAATGAAAGGGTCCCCTATACACGGAAGAAACCGAGGTCCAAATTAACTCGCAACTGAAGATTGGACCCAGGTGTTCTAGCTCCCCGCCCAGCGTTCTTTCCTACGATTCCTGGTCTAACTCCCCTTTGAACCTGTTTATACTTTTACCCTGTGTAACCTTACAGGCTAACAAGTTCCAGATGTTCACTACCACCATCATGCTCTTTCTTCTTCTTTATTTATAAATGATGCTCACATGACTTTGGATGCAGCGTTCTCTACTCACTGAGCGAGTCTCTACTCACTGAGTGAACCTGAGATAAGCCAGTTTCTCCACTGAGGAGACTAGACTCCGTAATTTATCACTTCCTCATTGCAATGCCATTTTCTTGTTTTTGAAAGGGGGGAAGGGGTGCAAGTGAGCGACGGGCAGAGAGAGAGGGAGTGAGAGAGAGAGAAGCGGGGCTCACCTGAAGCAGGGCACGAGCTTACCAGAAGCGGGGCTTGAACTCACCTGAGGTGGGACTCGAACTCACAAACCGTGAGATCATGACCCGAACCAAAATCAGATGCTTAACGACTGAGACACCCAGGCGCCCATACAATGACATTTATTTTCAACTCTCCCATACTACCTTCACCACGACCCTCCTAACCAAGCAAAGGTAATCAGCAGTAGCAGAGGTAAGGTACTCCCTCCGAGATGATGCCACGGGCACGGAGCAGAACCAAGGCCCCGTGCACAATCCCCGCCCTTGGACGGCTCCTGAGTTCCTTGAACCATACCGCGGCCACAAATGAAGAAACTCTAAGCTGGCCTGGTTTGAGCCCGATTTCCTATTTGATGCTGAAAAAGAACACGTAGCTTTTCACTGCAAATCAGCATCTCTTACACAAATCCACGGATTAATCTCAGGGGATTCACCGCTGTGCCTGAGTCACTTTAGGGAGAAAGGGTTTGGTTACAACTCAAGGACTCATTTCAGTGCTAACATCCCTTCATTTGAAAACTTTGGGTTCGGTGCCACAGTGTCTCACACAGTTAAAATGCTTCCTCCTCTCACTGGAGGAGAAAGAGGTAAAGAAGGCATTTCGTGGCACCTCAGATTCCTCAAAACGATGCTAATAACGGCAGCAATCTTTTACATTTCTTTCGTACTTTTTGGTTTCATTTGATCTGCGGCTCTGTGAAGTTATACCCATTCTACAGCTGGGAATGGTAAAGCACTGAGGGAGAGTCACTAACCTGAAGGTTCTGAAGCTTCTAAGTGACAGAGCTAAAAGGAGGGCCCAGATATTTAAGTTCAAAGACTCACAACACACTGTATTGAGAGAATTTTTTATTACAGATCTTCCTCAACCTATGATGGCATTACGTCCCGATAAACGCATCCTAAGTGGAAAATATCGTAAGTCAGAAATGCATTGAACATGCCTAACCTACTGAACATCATAGCTTCGCCTGGCCTACCTTAAATGTGCTCAGAACACTTTCGCTGGCTTACATTTGGGCGCAATCACTACCAAAGAGTCTATTTTACAATAAAGTGTAGAACAGCTCGCGTAATTTATTAAATATTGCACTGACAGTGAAAACCAGAACGGTTGCACGGGCACAGAATGATGTGAAGAGTACCGGCTGTTTACCCTCGTGCTGGCAAGGCCGACTGGGAGCCGTGGCTCACTGCTGGTGCCCAGCACCGTGGATCACTAGCCCAGGAAAAAAAAAAAAAAAAATCAAAATTCAAAATCAAAGTGTGGTTTCCACTGAATGGGTATTGCTTGTGCACCCCCGTAAAGTCGAAAAATCGTTTAAGTCAAACCCTCCTAAGTTGGGGATCAGCCGTATTTCTATTGTTACTAAAAACGATCTCCACGGCCCAACAGCAACTGCGTATTTTCAAGGACAGGGCCAGGCTGAAGCCATTTAGCAGACACATGACTCCAGGACCACATGGCTTCTGGGGCAGCCCTGACAGATCTTACGGTTAATGAGCAACAAATTATGTATTTTCTCTATCCCCTTGTACAGAAGGGTCGGGGAGTCGACAACACAGCCATAAATCATCATTATGAACCAGCCGGACTTGGCTTCTTGTAATCCTAACCCTTAAAAGGCCATTTAATGAAATTCGGGCTGTGAAAGGCGGCCCGAATACCTCACCTCTGCCGAAGAGGCGAAGGCTTAAATTGTTCTCCGACACGTTACACACCTAACGCCGGAGTTCCAGATTTACTGCTTTCGGACTTTATTCATTACTCACAATGTTTTTATTCCCGGGTAATAAAATAAGCTCTTCCCTCCCCCAGACTCCAGCCCCTGGAGCCCTCATTTCTGCCTCAGTCAGCAAGGCTGTGATATGTAAATTTCACTACTGAGAAAAATGCCTTCAATGTTGATCCCTTTCTGAAACAGCAAGCAACAGATTCCGGGGGTAATGGCAAGCTGCCAGGCAGCGGAGGAGAATTCTCCCCTACCTTTCTTTTAAAGCACTTGGCACAGAATCTGGAAACTAATAAAGCGGGGAAGCATCGCAATTAAAGCTACAAGGAGACAGAAAACGACCAGCGCTTGCCCCCCCCCGACCACGGTGACGGTTTGTCCCCAACTCCAAGACAGCTCCGCTCCGCCTCTTCTTTCTGGTGTAAAAGACCTCAACTGTCCACATATTCACCGATATCGGAAGTGTTCCAGAGAGGGAATCTGGAGAGCACTGACTTTTTGAAAAAGAGAGAGCACAGGGTGGTCAAAGCAGCACTGACTTTGGAACCAGAAAAACCTCAGCCTGAAC